CGTGGGCATTGGAGTGATGACAATGTGAAGGTCTAGTAGCAAGAGCAGCGCAGAAGTCGTTGAAAAGGCAAGGATGTAGGCTATGCATGTGCCAGAGCTTTCCAAGGTACTTCACCTATGATACCTTCGTTCAGGAGGAGAACTTGCCTCAGCTGGACTTGCAGGAGCTGTTGGACAATGCAATGGATATCAAGCTCACGCCGCTTGGCAAGTTGTCTTGCACCCTTGCTGTTTTGTTCATGCATCGTGGTACAATCATGAGGCTTGCGGTCAGCAAGCTAAGACACAAGAAGCACCTAAGGCTGCTTGACGACATCGTTTTCGCACTTTGGCTTCCCATCATGCAAAGTAGCGACGCTGTTGTAGGGGCGAGCACCATGCGTCTTTGCCACTGCTATCACAACAGTGGTCTGTGGGTCGATGTTGGTTTCACCGGCATGGCAAGTTTGGTGTCACTGTTGTGAGGCCATTGTGGCTTTCCTCAACTACATCTTTGCATGGAAGTCTTTTCTGCTGTCTGGCCTGCTTCTATGGGCTGCTCCCGCCTCAGTTAGACAAATCCGTGGAGGGATTGTCAAAAGCTTCGCCTGCAAATGTGCCTGGCATCCTTGTCCGTATCCATGTGTCTGTGCTACTACGCCAAGAAATGAACCATCAAGTGTCCTAATGCTTCCGACAGTGGTGCTGCTCTCATGAAGTGATTTCCCATCTGTGCAAGCCATTCTTGACCGTCCTCTCAGGGCCTGTGCTGCGGATTCCATGCAACAGGGCTGCAATGAGTACGTCTGAAACGCGAACCTGTCGTGCCACAGCGCGTTGTCTAGACGCCCAGCATGTTTCTGGATACGGTGCTTCCTTGGACCACAACATTGCTGGAGAAGAAAACTGTTTGCAACATCACGAGGCAGTACTGGGCACTGCAGCTCTGAACCTGTGGATCGGAATCGTGCCCCAGATGCGATGGTTCTTGGCTGACATCTCCTGGAGTTTCCTGACGAGGGAACGCTGCGCAATCTCACTCACAATAGAGGCCCACGAATAAATTTTGGGGGTGCCTGAAAGAGCGTACAGGCCTTCACATAAAAGCAATGCCACCCCAAAACGCACGAACTGCTCAATCAGTCGTGCTATATGACTATACTGGCCATCATCTGTTGAGCCTCATGCTCATCATCGCATGGGACAAACAAGTGTCTCCCCTCGCACCGCCGTCTCAGCCTTTGCGATGCGGTAAAGCCTTCACTCAAGTCTCACTGAGGAGCATGGGAAGCACATGCAAACGTATCTTTTGCAGAATTGGGTCAACGGTTAAAGAACTGAGCAGCGCATGTTTCTTATCTCCAGGTGCTGTTGCTCATGGCTAAGAAAGATTGGCGCGATGAGATGACAACCAACGGCAACCTGGCCAAAGTCGCAGAAGCTGTTTCCGGACCCCACAATGCAATTGAACGAATTGGCTGCATCGACGCTTTCGAATGTGTTCGTTCGCATTGTTGCAGCCCATCCTCGCCCGAGACCTGTGGTCAGATTTTTGAAGCAGCCGGTCACAGGCCTCAACGCACCGCTGGACCAGCGCGGGCTGGAGCTCGTGGCTGCGTGGAACGAGACATCAGACTCAGACCTCAACAGTGTGCCATGATTCGCCATGTGCGTCAGAATTAGTAGAAGTGCAGCTAGACAATGCAGTGCTTGGCCACGATTGCCAACAGTGCCAGCTACCAGGTATTCCTTGCAAGGGTTATTATGCTTTTTTGGAGGATTATTATGATTATCATCATTCATTGCTGTTGTGATTTTGTTTGTTATTAGCAGTTAGCATGCAATCAGCTCTTAAGCCGAGACCTGCCCTCTTGGCCCAGGAAATGCATGCATTTCTGGTGCGCTTGGTGCAGTCCAGAAATGGGCAGATCGTGAGCATGCAGGATGCCAGCCACCATTTCGCATCTTCTTGCCGCGCTAGCTGTAATAGCTAGTGGATTTGCTTCCCCCAGCACCACTGCCCTCTTCAAAGGGGCATTTGGAGGACTTGGTGCACTTCGCGGGCACCATAACAGTTGGGCGAGGTGAGCTGGAGATTACGTTTAAAGAACTGAAGAGCGCGATGCATGACGCCTGGACATGGCAGTCAGCTTGTCTAAGAAAAGATCCGGTACTGGCAGATTCGTTGCCAGCATTCCGGGCTGAGGATCTTTGGTTCGTGGACTTCCCAAAGCATGACCAACTGAAGAAGGGATCCCTGGTCCGGGTCCAGGCACAGAGCCACACATCATAGAAACATAGTATATAGTCCCAATATAACCCCTATATAACCCTATGTTCCCTATATTAATAACCCGAATATACTATAGTAGTTTCCATTTTCTTTTCCGCTACATCATCCAAGCTAAGCGAGAGCCTGGCCAGGAGCGCAGAAGAGGCACCGTTGTTGCAATCGCCGGCTCGCAGCGTGCTAAGGAGACAGCAAAGCCGTTGCGCCGAGTGTGGTATTGTGTTTGTGTGAAATTCGCTCTTTGTGGTTTGAGTGCCTAAGGAAGGTGACCGTTCACTTTGATCTCGAGGACCAATGGGAGTGGCCATGCTCCATTATCCAAACTTCAAGCTTGGCATGTTCAAGGCTAGGTTTGCAGAATTGTAGACCTATGATGCTGTTCCAGCTTCACTGTCCTGCCATTGCGGTTTGCAACAGGTGTTTTGTGACATGGCTTATCACTTTCACAGCTGTAAGGTGGGTTTGTAAGTATTCGCACGAGACGGGAGAGATCTGGTGGCAAGTGTATTAGGGGTATGGGAAACCGTCTGCGCAAGCTTGCCATTCATGACAACACTAAGTGATGTGGACTACGGCATCTTCGATCTGAATGACGTGACTACACGTCTAACGCCTCCAGCCATCCCGAAGATGCTTGTGCCCAAGAGCCCTTCGGTGGCAGATCCCCAGCTCCTCCCAAAAGCTTAAAGTGAAAGCATGCAGGCATGAGACGGGCGTGTGAAACCAAGGCATGCTGGGATTGACGGGGACTCTTCAGTCTTGTCCTGAGCACACAGGATGAGGCGCTGCAAGCCAGCGGGCGCATGCCAATCAGATCCTGCGTAAGGTTTCAGGTGAACAGCGTGCGTGATGAGTACATCGCTCTGGCTCGGCAATTGCAGGCCAGAAGTGCCAGAAGCCTTGCATTCTTGCCCGCAGCCTCTCCATGTACATGTTCCTCCCCCAGCCAGCCATAGCTTTCGGATCTTTTGGCAATCAGCTCGTGAAGACTCAGCCGACCACAAGTTCTTTTTCACTGGCATTCAAGCATTTCTCAAATGCGAAGCCTCCTTGCGAGCACGAATGCGCGAGAGAGGCCTTCATGAGATGGCAGATGCCAGTCAAAATGCTGGCGATTGTTTGTTTTGTCTTCGGGCGATGTTTCTTGCTGCACGGCTGCAGTGGAGCAAGGATGATCCTGGGCTAGCGCATCATGAATGATGCAATTAGGGCGCATAAGCGCTTTGAAGCAGTCAGCACGGTGATCCAAGCTTGCTCCTCTTGATGGATCTGAGGGCATCCTACGGCTACCTCCATGAGAGTAGCATCTGCTACAAAGCCGAGCAGACTATTTGTCTCGTGAGGCCCGGAGGGCAGGGTCTTTTCGGATCCTGCAGTTTGTGTCGCGTGAGCAGCTTGAAGTGGAAGCGCTTGGCAGCAGCAGGAGCAGGAACAGTAGCAGGAAAAGCAGCATGTAGATATGAGAGGAAAAGTTCCGCTCGTGGAATTGAAAGCTTACGTGCGTGACGAAAAGCAGATGTGCAATGTTCCCTGACGGTCTGTGGTCCGAGGAACATCATCTTTTGCGTGGTTCTCGTCATCCTCTTCTTCTGCAGGGCACGGGGCGTGCGCGTCGTGCGAGGCAACGCCTGACCTGTCGGCAGTTAGGAGTGAATCACGCGCGCAGCACGCCCTTTGCACGGTGAAAAGCCCAAGTCAGCCCAAGTCCCCTACATATAGTACATTATAGTACCCATATAGTACCTACTGCTTGGCATGAAAGGCTTGGCGCAGATTGCCGTCAGCCGATTCCAGCGGAGATCTGCACCAGGATGTTGGAAGTTCTACAAGCCACTTGGACTAAGCTTGATGCATTTGAACACCTCACGTTCATCAGAGCAAGCGAACGGTCACCTCGCAATACTGAGGCCTGTAGAATTGCCGCAACTCGGACCCCTTTGAGCATATAGCTCGGTGTGAGGAAAAATAGCGTTGGTTTCACATCAACATGCGAGGTACAGAGCACATTTACAATGATGTTGCGGCCTTACATACCACTCAGCAATGTGACTCAGCGAGGCTTTGCTTTGGAGTTCTCTGTCTGACAAGCAGAACCCTGCAGTAGCCTCGCTCAGGTGCCACAGCCTGTTAATGTGCGTCGCAGAAGGTCTCAGGACAAGGCTTCTCCATTGAGAGTATGTGATAGCATGTGTATGCTCTAGGTCAAATCATGTTTTGCCTTGTAAATGCCCTTCATTAAGACATAAGCATAAGTCTGCAGATGTGGCATGATCGATCCGCGGCCGTTTGGACAGCGCAGCTTGCATGAGGAGTGTGAGTGCGCTGAGATCACTGTGTACTACCTGGACTTTCCGCTGTAAATGCTTTCGTCTGCGCATACGGTGTCTGCGGAGATTTGTGCATATGGCATATTCCTTGATTCTCGGCGCAGTACTCACCGCCCACAAACCATGCTGTGGCCAGAATCGAGGACTATACCTGGATGCGCTTGGTTAGTTAGGCCCCCACAAGTGGGATCTGAAATGCCACGAAGCCGCCACAAAGTTTGGCAGAACGTGCAGGGAGGAAGTTTAGCAAAGACATCAAAACACAACTCTGCAGACAAGGATGCCTGTGCTGGTATAACTTCACCAAACTCATTTTCCAGCGAAAACATGGACGCAGTGTAGTTGCAGTGCACTATCCTCCACAGCCCTACAGAAACAAGCCCCTTTCTCTCGTGTGCACTAAGTCTTGCCGATGCTGCACGGCTGCGTGATGTCGGGGGCTTCACGGATGTCCAGGCGAGCTTCCTGATTTTCAAGCTTTCCAGGAAACCCATGGTGGGCCTCTCCATGGCTTTAAAAGGTTTAAGTATGCCAAAAGCAGGCGTTAACCCACAATTGTAGGACTGCCTCCAAAGCGCCAGGATGTGGCATAGAATTCAAAAATGTTGGGTAAGCGTTCTACTCGTCATTGAGGAGTACATTACAAAGGGAGCACATGAAGCGGAGGGATGTGCATTTGCGCGTCTCAGCAGGTTTTCAGTGGACTTTATGTTGGGAGGGCCTTGCATCTTGCAGACATCTCCAGGGAGAATCTCAGCATGCTTGAGCTGGAGTGCCAGGTGGAAGTTCGGAAGGATCTCGCACACGAGGCCATGCTTAGTATGGCCAAGGTCTATGATAACGCAGCGGCCTTTCTGGTTTTGGGTCTGGGACATTTCTTATTCTAGCAGGCAGAATCAGATTTCTTATAGCCTTATAGCCAATAATGGTTTCAGAATGTTTCAGCTTCTCGTTCTTTGACTTTTCGCCAGTTACAAGATTCTCAAACCAGAGCAACCCGCATCTCGTAACTTGTATTCGAACAAGTTGCAAGACACATACAAAGGTGTTTCCCATTTCCGAAAATTCCGCTGTGAGCATTTTGCAGCTTCATCCATCTGAGGCTTGCGTATTGTTTATTTGGATTTTTCGGGTCCAGACCCTAAATTTGGAAATCAACTGAGACTTCAGACTCTAGTTAGTTAACAACATGTCGGATCATAAGCCTACACCCTGCACCTGAGCATCCGACCTGTGCCATCACCTCATAAGATAACATAGCAAATTCATATGGGCCATAGTCTAAACTGTTAGTATCCCTCTCAATAACCCCTATACCAGTACCCCTCTGTCACCCCCTCTACGGAGTTTAGACTTTAGCTCATATTCCAGCACCTGTCAAGAAGTGGCCTTGCAGCAAGGGCCCTTTGAAGGAGGCCAAGCCTGCCAAGTCCTCGAAGAAGGGCATCAGCAGGACCTGGTGAGTTCCCAAAATTAGGATTACTTTTTTGGGGATCATAGTGTTTCGCGGGCTATGTTGGGGCCCCACTTTCTGGCTACGGCTACGGGTTGGACCATCGGGGTGTGCGGTCCCAGGTTGCCCAGCCAAGCCTCAAGTTTAACTCCTGATGAAGTACCCCAGAATTCTGTCCGTGATCACAGCAACCCAAGTTGAACAAGCGAAAAGCTTAGCAGGAGCTTGTCTTCAAAGGACCACGAGATCGCTTTACGACGCTCCGTGCTGAGCATGTTGTGTAAGACCATGCTGGTCATACGCGCTTTACTGGCTGGTAGCTGCCAAACGCATTTCCTGACGCCCTACGAATGCTCGCCTTGCCAGACGTGGAATTCCTGCCAAATATCGCCGTTACGTTAGCCTGAGTTGTTTTTCTGACCAGGTGCTCGCAGCGTGGCAAAGGCAGAGAGGAGTTGTCCAGATTTGCTTCGAAGCTGACCATAAAGAATAACAAGTACGCGTGCCAGTGAGCCTTGCCCCTCTGCAACTATGCCAGCGAACTCAGGCTCTTCGTGCAACGGCACCTACCCGACATGGCCATTAGACTGCAATTGTAGGGTGCTGCGCAAGAACGGATTTAGCATCCAGACGATGGCACAGGTGGATTTTCACAGCTCTTGTACTCCAGAGAGCTGTTGAAGTGCTGGTGAGCCAGCATCTCAGTGGGTCGTTTGGGCTCTGAAAGATTCGCATGGCAGGCTTACCAAGTTTACGAACAAGGGTTCAGCGCAGTGAAGATGCAAGAACGCAGACCCGCACCGGGCATAAATCAAACATGGAAGTATCAATTATGTGTAATAGCTTCAGCTCTGTTGGCCTTAGTCGAGCGCGCGGCAAAAAGATGAATGGTGGCTTCTGAGCGCCTGAACTTGAAATTCACAGGGAGAGTACACAGACCGCAATCGATGGGTTGCATAGCGCTAGCAAACATACGATGAAAGTTTGGGCAGATGAACCGAGAAAGCAGGTTAGCTTGCAAGGGTTTGCGCCTTGCGCTTGGCTCCCATTCAACGCTAGACAGCTTGTCACTCAATGTCATTGGGGTTCTCAGCTGCATTCTGCCTTCAGCTCCTGCCAAATCATTTTTTCAGGCCTGGTGGACCTTGCAGCTGAATCCGCTGAGGTGTCCAATTCCTTTCCTATTTCCTCGGAAATTTGGAGATGCTCCAAGCCCACAGCCTGAAATCTACCTTGACAGCATAGAGCCAACTCCAGCCCTGAAGGGCTAGGCGACCCACCGCATGGCTATGGCTTTATTTGCCAAACGTTCACGCTCAACACAGGATCGAAGTGGAGAGCCAAGAGGGGAGATGCTTAGCATGGTCCCTATATAGCTCTATAAGAAATAATTACAATCTGCTCATACTATTTGCTTCACATGAGTCACTTCCATAACCGGTACGATTGCTGGGGCTTGAGCTGCCTACCAGCATGAAATTCGCAAGCTCGACGGCTGACATGCGCCAAGTACATTTCTATTTCTGTCGCAATGCGTGGTAGTTTGAGAGCTATTGATGGCTTTGGTTTGTGAAGTTTCTGCCAACACTGAACATTATAAATGTGATCTCCAGTCTACGCTACGAGCCATTCCTATAGTGACCTGGAGACATCCTGAGATGTGTTGGGGTTAAACATGCAACGCTTGGGTATCTTGCTGGGACAGTGTCATGCGGATACCCGGGTTTTCCGCGAACGCCCCAGCTTCATTAATTCCGTTGGCGGGCGAGGCAAATGCCAAAGGTGTCAGGGATTTCAAGTTGGGGGGCGCTGCGGATCGCGCTACTCAACACCAAAATGCACTTGGCACACAAGCACGGCAGAGATCTCTGAATGAGTCTGCAGAGTCGTTGTTGCGGATAGCCAGGAACATGCGTTGGCATGGAAGTTGTTGGTTCAGCGCCGCTGACTCGGCTTTGAGCGAGATGCTGGGAAGTGCAGCCAGTCCCGCGCAACTTCCATGGCAGCTGGGGTTTATGTCAAGGAGGTCATCCGCATGGGGATGCATGTCATGCCCGTCAGCCCATCCCTGCACAAGTGCACGTCAGCAGTGAGTCCCTGAACAGGTTTTTCAGAACCACACATTCAGTACTCGAAGCTGCGTTTCAAACGAATGGTAGTTGTCCAAGCTACTGGCTATACATGCAAATCAAAATCTCCTTGCCGTCAAGTCCTTTCATAGAGCCCTATGCGCTGTTAGCTCAACTTTCTGGAGCACTGCAATGAGAATTTGGCTGGACGCCCATGTATAGTACACGAAGGTTAGCCTTCACTAGACTACCTACAGATCCTCGAGGCATAGCATCTTGCAAATCAGCAGGAAGCAGGCCAACAGGCATGAGCGGAGATGACCTTTCCGGATTGCAGGAGCATTCAGTGCCCAGGCAAGTTAGACCTGTCAAGAATGCTCCCAACACATTGGTCATGGTGGGTAACGAAACAACGAACTGGCTTAAGCTTATGAGTCTCAACGCTTCATCGCGATGCCAGAAGATAGATTGCACTGATGTTCGGCCCAACCAGGCTGGTAACCAACCATGTCAAGGGTGGATGCGATATCGTTCAGAGTGAATCCGCCTATCACATTTCATGCAGGTGGCGGGCAGCATGTGCCCGCTGCTCGTACTGGCTTGAAGGCAGATTTACCCTGGACTTGTGAGAGAGCGTGTACAGTGCAGCCGAACATGAACCTCCAGAGAAGGTATGTCAAAGAATTGCTGCATAGAAGCTCTTGAGCGCACTGCTGTCACAGATCCACCTCGCAAGGAAGACTAGGGACTAGGGCGAATCTATGGGTTAATGCACAGAAGGGCAAGTTATAGATTGCACAATTGACACTGGGCGCAGCACCAATATACTTGAGCCAAAATGAGCCAAGGCCTACTGTTGACCTAGACTCGCCAAGAATCCGTCAAGCAAAACACAAAGCTATGTTGGCCTTGGTCCAGGGAGCTCGCTGCTCCCTTGGCAGCAGTTTTGGTTCAAGCGTGTTATCCATGTTAGCCAATCAAGTCACTCAGCTACCCAACTGCAACCTGACAACCTTTTGCACAGAAGGCCACCTTCAGTCTGCTTGTGCGTGGGAAGCTAGCAGCTGGTAAACACAAGTTCAGAGGCTGTGCTCGTGTACTGTAGCTACTCTATTTGACATCATGGCGGGAAAAGGCGGCCCCTACAAGGCCCAGCTGGCTGCTCGTGATTTGGCGATCCCATCATTGATTTGTAATGCGACAGCAATTCAGCAGGAACAGCGTTACGAGCTTATCCTGCGCCTTCATGCTTAGTTGATAGCAGCGATCTGCTCACACAGCAGTCCCACCCGCAGCTAGCGTGACACAACCTGTTCGCAGGTGTTTGTTGGCGGATTGCCTCAAGAAGTTACGACAGATGTCGCTTGCCCTTGAAGCATGCGGTCAGCACGTTCAGTTATGGTGGTGAATACGGTTGTCAGTGTTACCTTTTACTCATGTTTCACCCTCATTTTATGAAGCACCCAGCTGACTCACTTGAAAGAATGGCTTCGCCAGCAAGGTTCTTAGCGAGTACTTCTCAACTTATGGGACGCTGACGGATGTCGTGGCCACTCGGCCCTGATTCACGCACCTTGCTATGTGAAGTCTCACTTGTGCACGGAAAAAGAGAACGCATAACTACATTGTAAGGCAGGAAGGGCCTCCCTTCAAGATTACCAAGTGGCAAGACTTACAAACAGACCGTAGCGACAGCTTCTTGATGCCCGTGCGTCTGCCAAAAAATCCAGCCCGCAGCTTTAGCATGCCATGTGGTCCACACAGATGACTGACTGACAGGTTATGACAGATCGCGCTACCGGGCGGTCACGCGGTTTTGGCTTCGTCTCCTACGAGACACCAGAGCCAGTAGATCAGATCATGGCATGCCGCAAGGATTGGCGGGAAAGATAGCCCTGCAACTGTCTGGAGAGTGGTACCGCAGTGTAGAGTACGGAGTGCTTTTCTGGCGATGGATGGGTCATGATTGGGTGAGAGACTTTGGGAACTTGGGAAGCAGTTGAGGACCATTCTATCATGGGCAAGTGGATCGACTGTGGCTTAGCGGCACTTCACTTCTGAAGTAGGGCTGGAGTTGTGCCTTGGTGCGATGGGCTTGTTATACTGCATCCTTCCCTCATTGCTGCCGTTACTCGTTTTGACGAATATCAAGTCTTGGAAGGTGGTTATAGAACTTGTGGTTGTCGTTGTTGCTGCGTTGCTAGCGTTAATTGACATGTGCTCGTTAGCATTGATGCTATATGCTATGGGCCGATGCTTGGGTGGCTAGCAGCTACCATTCGGAGTAGGATCATTGCACTAAAGCTCGGAAGCTGTGGAATATTTAACTTCCGTCATCTTGAGAACTGCCCTTGAGGCTTCTTAGTACGCCATCCTAAGTCAGAGAGTCGCGGACGGGCACTGAGGTAAACCTGCAACTACAGAGGGAACCAAGGGCGCACCGACCAAAGGCGGCGGCAAAGGTACGTCCACTGGGATGGGGATTCTCGGCCGAACAAACCCAGTGATCCTGACACTCAGCCCCTAGTTCCGAAAAAATCGAGCTGCCCCTTATTTCTAAGGTGAAAGTTATGGGCCCCTAGTATGGCCCCTTAACCTTAGGAAGTTATGGGCCCCTAGTATGGCCCCTTAACCTTAGGAAGTTATGGGTCCCTAGTATGGCCCCTTAACCTTAGGATCCTTATAATACACCTATTATATACCCTATAGAATGTGCCCTTGAGGGTCCCTGGAATCACCCTAAAAGGCCTAAGGGCCCTTATTGGGGGCCCACACCCCCAACCTTAGAGTCCTTAGAGTATTACGTCAGGAGAATCCAGAGATAGCTCAAGGTAAGTGTGCCATGATTGTGTTTTTTGCAGTTCTCCAGGATGCAGCAGAGCTTTACGAACATGCTGTGCCGAAGGCTTCTACCCATAACCTTCCGCTCCCCTTAGGATCAGGAGATTTTGAAATGGCCTTGTAACAAATCAACCTCAGCACCGCAAGCAAGGAAGTCATCTCCCGGGATGGACCGTCCCGGGGATTGGAAATGTCCAGGCGCCGCTTGCCAGGTGTGTGCCAAGCAATGGAAGACTCGCGACTTGTAGATAACTAGGGTGTGGGTTACGGCTCCCGTTGTGTGCGCAGGTTGCGGCGTGACGGTCTTTGCTTCCAAGTCTGAGTGTGGAGTCCTCAAAGGTAAATAAGCGCCGCAGCAGAAGTGCCACTCGCAGTTCGGGTGATCAAACCCCAGCTATTATTATATACTATAATATACTATCATATCTGTTATCATATACTATAATATACTATAGTGTACTATAATATGCTATACTTAGGCTTTAGATGCAACACCCCCAAGCCGGATGGGGCAAGCTATGGAGCCAGAAGTGTCCTGGCTGCAGCAAATTGGAAACCTGGCCTGCTTTTGTGCCCGTCAGTTGAGCAATAATTACATGTTATAGTATATAACAGTATGTCATAGTTAATGCTATATACTATAGTGTATATTATAGTATACTAGAGTATGTCATTGTTAAAGTATAGCATAGTATAATTTCTAGTGTACTATAGTATATTATTGGCATGGCAAACCATGAATCATAGGGCTCATGACCTCTTTCATTCTGAAAAATATCTTCTCAAGGGATCAGGAGAGGTAGCGCAGCAGTCGGCTGCAAGCATGGCTCCAGCGTTTGTCACAGGACTTCAGCCCGATGCCTTTGATGTGGATTCGGAGCTGCCAGTACCAGATTTCGAGGAGCCTGAGAAAGCCGCTGAGCTAGAAGGCCATACGCTGTCTGTGAACGGGACCCCGAAAATGGAAAGCTTCTTGAACTCGTACTCCTCCTACGATAGTGCAAGCTCTGAAATGTCGGTGCGTACCTTTGCGAAGCAACGGCAGCGAAAGCAGCTGTGCCGAGAGCGGCTCAACCTTTTTTTGAAGGACCACAACTTTTCGAAAGATGTGTGTGAGCCCAGGCTTCCAAAGTTCTCCTGTGCCAGTTTCGGCAAGGAAATACTTTACCCTATTCATGTGGCTGCCAGCCTGGGGGATGCGCAGATGGTGCGCTTGCTGGCAAAAGCAGGTGCAGATCTGCAGCAGACGACATCCAAAGGCCGCACTGCAGCCGATCTTGCCTGTGAACGCGACGTACAGGGCTCTCACCGAGACGTCCTGGATTTGCTTCGGGGCACGTTCAAGACCATGGCACTGCGAGAGTTCGTTTCTATCATGCATGGCTGCAGCTGATTGCAATCACTTGCACGTGCCAGCTAGAGGCCAACATGGTTCTGGCAAGCGCCAGAAGAGTATGCGAATTCAAGCGCAAGTGCCAGCGCACAGTCGACATTCAGAACACGGCACGAGGAGATTTTGACGGGCAGTTCTCTTCGTCGCAGTACGCTGGTTGTGAAGTACCGGGCTCTGCTGAGAACTAAGCGCAGGATCCTTCGTAGCTGTTTAGATCCAACCCTGCTTGGAGAGCGGGGTGGGTCGATGGTACCCTCTTGACCACAATTTCTATGTAGACTTGTACTTTGTTTTACGTTCAGGCAGAGCAGCTTCTTATGTTAATGTCGAGATAGCCTGCTCGCCGAAAGCATACCTGCACCTGCAGTTCTGGGCAGCGCTGAATCGGCTGAATCTTCCCGGTGTGCCGCCACGGCAACTCAAGCCTAAACAGTCTGGATGTTTGGTCCTATAGAGACACAAGTCACAAGGCAACATCTGAAGTTAAGCTTCCAGCTCTTCTGTTGACCTCTGTATAGCTGCGAGAAGCACGACACACCAACATGCCTGCTCGTGCTGCCCCAGCTTGACATGAATTTTTCATGAATTGCAGACCAACCAGAGGTTTTCAGATTTTGTAGAGGGGTGTCTTGTGGTAAGGCTTCATAAGCTGTAGGCAGAGCTGTGGCTGTGCAAAACCTCTGGACTGGTATCTAACAGCAAAAAAGTGTTATGTGTTTCAAAACTCCACGGAGGTTTGCCATAAATCACGTGAGGGGTTTGCTCAGAGGATCCCTTTCTCATCTGTGAATAGTGGCATTGGCTTCTTGTGGGCAACTAATTAATTGCACCATCCGACCTTGCAACACGTATGTACAGTCCTGGCACCTGCCCGAGCCCCACAAATTTACTGGCGGTAGGCTGCAGAGTGCCGGGCTGACAATACGAGGCATATAAATCAGAAGCCTGATGTCTGCTGTTTCTGAAAGTGCTCGGTTGATGGCGCGTGCCTGGTTATTAGTTTCACATGGAGGGCAGATGCGGATTGTAAGCCGATTTCTGCTGGTCGGCAGTGGCCAGAAGCATGTCAACTCCTAAGAGATATATAGATGTATAAATATGTATGTATGCAGATTTAAATGTAAATACAAATACACAGACACATATATATATATATGTAAAGATCTACATCACAAAGGGTATCAGAGAGCCAAGAATTCTTGGGAGTTAGGAACCTCAAGCCTGCTCTGAGAGCGGTGATCTTTAGCGACGTGATCACGACATCCGGCGCAACGTTTTCCAACCCCCGCCTGCATGACTTAAAGTCATTTGGCAAGAAACTCATCTAAACTCCTCAAAGGGCGTTATATAGGTTATTATGTAGGGAAGTACTGGGGGCGATTAAGGGGGATACTAGGAGTCAGAACATTTTTATTTATATCGTGGCAGTTTCACAGGGCCGCTGGTTCTCAGACGGCCAATTTTCTTCCAAGATTTTTACATTCAGAGAAATGAGTTGCCAACTCACAGACTGAGACTGGCAAACAGCCGTGAGAAAAGGGCTCCTTCCAAGGGTGCATGCAGTCGGGTATGTCGGTCTCTACTGGCGAGGCTGCCTGTTTCTGCCCGAACGAACATTGAAGGGGTTGTTGCATGTTGTTGCCATGTCAGTTGGATCTGACGAATATGAGGGGCTCAGGGAAGGGATCAGGTGAGCAGCCTCAGCTGACGTCCAAAGCAGCATTGGCCATGGCCCCAAACTGCACAGCCTCTCGAAAGCCTGAGGCTGCAGAAGTCGATCCCCGGCTGCCCGCTTTGCAAGAACAGGGGAAGTGTGTAGGCGCACCTGATGCCCCATGCCGCAGTAACTCCAATGAATCTACCGCTTCAACCTCTTCAGGATTAACCAGTGCGAGCCTGTATTCTGGTGACTGCTTGCGGCTTTACACGAAGAGACGGCAGAGGAAGCAAAAGAACGAAGAGCAGCTAAAGCGGTTTCTGCAGGAGCACACCTTCAGCCAAAGTGTAGACAAGCCAAAGGTCTCTCGCTTCTCCTTCATGCGCGAGGTGCTGTACCCAATTCATGTCGCTGCCATGCTTGGGGATGCGCAGATGGTTCGCTTGCTGATGCAAGCTGGTGCCGACCTGAAGCAGAGGACATCCAAAGGTCGCACTGCAGCCGATCTTGCATTTGAGAAAGACGTGTCCGGCTCGCACCGGGATGTTCTCGACCTCCTGACCGGCGAGGTACAAGTAATGTCATTGCGTGACTTCATGTCGCCTCACTTCGCATGATGCATGCGGCGAACAGCCCTGTGCTGGCCAAGATCTAGCATTCCCGGGCTCATGTATCGCGAATGATGGCTCAACTGCAGGTTCAATGCCAGTTTCACGGTTCTCGCCTGTCCACAGGGACACGAACTGTCTTAGAGTCTTAGCTTTGCTTGTTGCTACGTTGCGGGCCCAGGCAGCGCATTGCGCACACTGTGGGTAGATATAGACCAAGTAGCGCCATGCTGGGGGTGGAGCCATCCCGGCAGGTCGGTGTGTTCCCGAATATGGCGCCCGTGCCCATGAATGCCAATGGAGTAAGGACGCTCTTGATCGCTTGATCCCTAGCGCAGGCAAATACATTTACACTTCCTACTTCAGACGATTTTATTCGTAGAACTTTGTCCATCGCCCGAGATCTTGTTATGCGTGCGAAGCTCCGTGACCTACTGTTCTGCATTTTTGGCCCTGGACGTTCCTAGAACGTTCTTTCCGCCCGCTTAGTCGGACAAGCCAGCCAGCAGCAAGCCAAGCGGTGGAGCAGAGACTTTTTATTCAACATATCCAAGCATCTGATGCGTCGCCAGTGCCTGGCTTGGTCGGTTTTCTGGGCGTGAAGCCATTTGTTTTGGAGAAGGCACTAGACCGCTGAAGACATGGAGTGTCCTACCTGGTAAGTCTTACCTGGTAAGTCGGTGCCGTGCAAATTTTGGAGGCACTTGCACTGAGACGTTGGTCTCTTGCCAGTTTAGTTTTGAATTAGAAGATGCGTCAATCAAGGTTGCAAAATAGCTTCAGGATAAGATCGGTCATGCGGTCAAGTTTGCTATGAGTTATGATGATTGTGGACTTGGCTTTGCCCAGGCTATGGAGGCTATGCCGCCTTCCCGCCACCTGCAGGCTGTGGAGGTTGCGGTGGTGGCAGTTGCGGAGGCTGGACCAGGGCTGCTCCGCAAAACTTTGAAACGCAGGATGGCTGCGTTGCTTACAAGCCATTAAGGGCCACAGATAGCCCCAGAAGTCACACAAAAACGATTCTGACCATATCCGGAGGCCAAGCCACCACTCCTGGCAGTGCCTATGGGGGTAAGACGCTCAGCTGCTCAGCTGAGATTTCATGCTATGCTTGCATTCAGAATTTTTGGCATGAGAGGTGGTAACTGTGGTGCTTATGGTGGTGTTGGCTCGGCCCCAAGCAAGTCCCACTCCACGCAGACTCCGGGAATGGCCCCAAAAAGACGTTCTCATGCTCGGCCCTCCCTCTGTGTGGCAGGTGGCTGCAGCTTTGGTGGCTTCGAAAATTTCGGAACCTACGGTGCAAAGCTCAGAAGACAGCTTTTTTTTACACTGGACTGCAAGGAAGCATGGCATGTACATGCACTTAATTACTGTGTGCCATCTTCAGCAAGCCGCTAAGACCTGAGCCCAGCTGTTACAGTCAATATGCACGTGCCGCGTGAGCCAGGGAAGCAGCAAGCAAAGGTGAAGCTGCAGGCTGCGGAGCTTGTGGAGCCTGTGGAGGAGCATACGGAGCTCCAGGCACCTTTTTTGGATGATGTTCGTGACTCTGCCGTCGTTGCCCTGCGAGCAGGCGCATATGGTGGCTATGGTGCTGTTCCTCGTGTCAGCCAGGCTATTTCGTAGTAACCCGGGACTCGCATTTTTTGCTTTGGCCAGCAGCTGGGTGCAGTGCAGTGAAGCCGAGTGAGCCAGGATGCAACAGCAGCCACAGGCTACAGCCCATACTGAGTTGAGACGTGTCCGCTGAAGTGGGTACGTGTTGTTGACGGCTTTTCACCACATGAAATTTAATTCTTCACGGGCTGCCATCCGCGCTGTCCTGCAAGCAAGTCAGCAAGTCAGCCACAAACTAAGTGACGTCTTTGGCCATCCATGCCTGTTGTGAAACACTTCTTGAAACTTCTTCGTGTGATCAGACTTGAATCACTCAAAGCATGTGAAGCCTTCTCTTCGGCTTGCTGCGGTGCCGCCGCACAAGAACCTTGCCCTAAGCAGCGCGTGTCAGTTTAAGCCAAGCTGTTTTTGCAGACGCACACACAAACACGAATCTACCGTACTTGGACAAGCTGCTACAAAAATCCAGCCAAGCAAGGCTGCAGGTTATCCCCGTTCTAACACTTTGCAAGTGTAGGTCCAGTGTAGGTAAAGAAGCCGTTCCGACAAGGGCGGACGAGCTTCAGGCTTCAGTTGGCAGGATGAGCCTCCTCCAACCGATTCGCCAGCGTGCACGCTGCAAGAATAAAAGCAGTTGAGGGCGCCTGAGCGCACAAAATGCCACCACGTCGACAGCCAGATGATCTTCCTGAATGGCATCTGTCGGGCTCAGGTACTTTAGGTTCAGGGACGTTCCCTGAGTAGGACGAATGCCAGCACATGAAAGACCATGCAAGTAAGACAACCTCCCATCACAGAACCACCAACCTTCAGAGGCCGCAAATCAATCCACATGAAATACTCACTAACTGCACAAGTCAAGACACTTTTCGCGTGCTTTTGCTGAGCAGTCTGTAAAGGCAATAAGGTTGACAAGACTGTACACCAATTCGGCTCGGTCAGACGTGTAGGAAGGCTGTCACGATGTCGTTACCCAGCTCTGCTTCATCAGGCGCGGCAACGGTCACGGGTACGAAAGAAAGACGGGACAAATAAGCAGATGGTAGCAGCTAGCCACTTACGGAGGTTTTTCTCAAAAAGCAACGACTTCCTTAGCTACTAGACCGTGTTTCAGTTTCTGTTGGCCTACCAATGGAGACCATGCAGGTGGACTTGCACGTTTACTGTTTGTACACAACCCACGCGGTCGGCCGACAGAAATGTAGCTCCAGGTCTAGAAGGGTACATAGCGGTCGCATCAATTAGGAGGAAGTCAGCAGGGGCAAGGAGATAGGTGTTGCCAAGCTGGCAAGCTCGCTTTGTCCCTGGAGAGCACACGTCGGACGTGACATGTTTCATACAGTTGCCTCAGCTTACGCAAGCAAGTTTGCACCCTAAATTCCACGTTTGCTACACAAGGATACCCCTCCCACATGTGCTCTTTGGCGAAGGCTTCCGAAAGCGCTTTTGCTTGGTTCTCTCCAGTGATGGGGAGCGGGTGGAAGTTCATGTGCTGGCATTTGGGACGGCAAGCCCGGTCAGCTTGCGACGCAGACATGTGTGGATTGTGCGCTAGGGGCATAATCAAGGGAACCAGAAGAGGCTTCGCAGTCTGGTTTGGAACTATTTCGCAATATTTGGCAGGTCTAGCATGAAAATGACATCTTGCAGAACTTGAAGATAACGTGACAGGCGTTGATATACAGCATTTTGTGCCACAAGCGTTTTTCCCGCAGCAGAAAGACTTAGCGTTACTTGACAGAAGCCCTGCGGGTTTTAGGCTTGGAAAGGACGCATATCATGCGAATATGGGCACTCCGTCCTGTCCAGCCACACCCCCCATCACCCATGGTCCAACAACCAGGTCAAACCCCTTGAAACCTTTACAGTACTAGCCCATGGCGTTTGTGAAGGGTCGATGCTGCTTGCAGCTAACTGGCAAGCTACTAGGGCCAATAGATGCGTGAGACGGCACTACAATAAGCCTTGGCAAGTTTGAGGGAAGGTCTAGGGCCTGGGCTCTAGCGACGGCCGAGAATGTCAAAGCCTCTCGAAATCATCCAAAACCATCTACACTGCGGCTGCGGCAAATGCAAAAGAGAAGGACAAGACTCGGGGAAAAACTGCCGGGTCTTGATCTCAGAATTTCCCAGCCAAGGTAGAACACCTGGAGCCAGCATTGCAACGCTGGAATTCTGGAGACTGGGATGCCTATGAAGCAAGCCACCTGTCAGGGATGAAGGAGCAGGGAGGGCATGTCTAGACCATCGCATTCCCAAAGTGGACTCCGGAACGAAGGAAACGAGGACATCCCAAATCTTAGTAACTGGGGAGGCAAGAAGCAAAAAAATGCGTCTTCAATACGCCTGCCTCGGACACTGGGGATTGATTCAAAGGTGTTTTGCTGGGGCCCAAACTGAAACACAAAAGAGGGTCTTCAAACATTGGTCTGAATCTCCTTGGGCGGCTGCCAGAACACAAATCTAGAGGTCTCTTCATGAATTAAGGTGAGTGCAGCATCATTTGTTTCGCGGGTCTTCATCTGGACGGATCGTAGGAGAACAAGAAGGCTCGTTACTGTAGGGCACCCAGTCCTAGAAACCTGATCGGCCTACTCCTCAGTGACATGAGTAGAGTTTTTTCACTAGGTTGGCTTCATTCAATCAATCAAAAAGTGCAGTTGTAAGCGAGTCTTCCTGAACGGTATAGCCTGTATAGCTGCAGGCTATTTTCAGCCAGATCAGATCATCAACCGCGCGGACTCCCGGGGCACTTGCATGAAGAAGCGCTCAGTGATAATTGCGCATGCCACACGCCTATGACTCAGATCATGACGCTAGCGATCTGCGGTAGCCAGAAGCACTTTCGCACACCTGAGCAGGGCTTCCTTTCAGAGGTTCCAGTTCGGCGAGTTGGAATGTTAGCGCACGGGGGATCCATAAGGTACGTCTTTGCCAAACAGAGCACTATGAAGAAGTCCAACTTCAACTAGACAGGTTCTCCAAACACTCTCTGACCACTGCAGGAGCAGTTTGACCCGCTGCGCCCACAAGCAGCTTTGCAGCGAGGATCCCGAGGGGTGCAGCCGGAAAGCTGCAAAGGCCGCGAGTTTGAGCATGGCTACCGGCCGCCCGGAAGCATAATAATATGTCCGTGGCAAAATTTTCTTACTTCTAGAAGTTGACGCAAAGCTGCCAGTCTTATTTTGTGATAGGTTTCAAGCTTCAGAAACATGGTGTATTACCGGCACCCTCATAGCTTGAGAAACAAGGTAATGCTCATTCTACTTGTAAGTGAGCAAGCGGGGCCTTGCCTGGCCACATGTTCAGCATGTCTTGCATATAAGTAGATGCCCGTTTCTGATTTTGACCATGAGGCTTCCTCCTCGACAGAGGAAAGGACAGACCAGATGGTGCCTCTGCTCAAGCAGTTCATAGGTCTGCTGAGTTCATTTCCCCACTGCCCAGGCTGCATCTAGTCTCCAGACTGTTGCGGCATCAAGTCGGCTGGTGCAACTTCAGAGTGGACTACCGGGCTTATGGCCCTGGGGTCACTCGCAAGCAGGTGCAGCGATGGGAAAGACGACATGGAAGTTTGGCTGCATCTATCGAACCTGAACTTGTGTTGGACAGCTGTTGGACATTTGAGCAGACTTGATGCTGGAAGCCAATTCTCATACGCAAGCAGCCTCCCACCCTCTCATCCTGTCACTGAGGAGATGTTGCTGCAGTTCGCACCAAGCGGCGTGAACTTCGGGAAGCGATCACTGAGGAGCGCCGTGCGGAGAAGCTCCGCGCCCAGGAGGCTCGAAAGTCTGAGGAGGTCAAGCAGGAAAGGGTTCGGCGAGAAGTGTGCAGACCGCGCCGTTCCCGGCATGATTCATGGCGGACCACGGAGCATTTCCTCATGGATTCCTTTACACTGCATGGCCAAGATGACGACTGCGACCTGGCAATGGCAGCTCAGCTGGGCTTGGATGACGAAACCTACCGTCAACTCAAGTCGCTTGAGGGCCGAGAGATTCGGCCAGAAGACTACGATCTGCTGGGACGCCTTGATGACAATGTCAAGCGCGAAACCGGGTTAGATGGCAAGCGCCTCAAGGTGTTTCCAACCGAAGTCTACGAGTCTGGCAACCAGGAACCAGAGAGTTGTGGTATTTGCTTGGACGACTTTGAAACCGGCGAAGTTCTTCGAACGCTGCTTCCTTGCGGCCATCGATTCCACAAGAACTGTATTGACCGCTGGCTGACAGAGACGACACTTGGCAAAACGTACACAGCCCCGAAAGGCTTGATCCACATCACTCAAGCAAACTGATGTAATTAGAGGTGCTCGTGACTTGTCAGTTCCAAGCAGATGCGTGGTTGGTTGGTTATCTGTGCTCCCCCGGTCTGGAAGAGCTCCTGCAAGTGCTGCTGCGGCCTGGATTTGTTGCAAGGTCTGCGCTGTGTCCTGTGGACAAGCTCAACATCGCGGATTACCAATCGTGCCTTAGCTCGCATGACACGTGAAAAAAATCGGCTCATATTGCATTGGTAAAGCATGAATTCATGCCACGCCTTTGAGGACTTGATTTGATGGCCAAGCTTGCTGACTGAGTCGAAGATTTCTGGATTGCGATTGCAGGGCTAAGAGCAGCCAATGGCAGCCATAGCTGCATGTCGCCACAGCTTAAAGCTTTTAGATGGTAGTGAGGGGTCCCATGTACATCATCATACCTGGCGACTGGCCAGCCGCGTCAAAACCAGCCAGACTTTGCATCACCACCGGATTCATTCGCCGTTGCCCAGAGTCGGATACACGGATGCTAGAGCTTCTACCTTATAGTTCCTGAGTCATGGAGGTGGCGATGCAGGTCGGCTCATGCGATCAGGCGGTCAGCGCAGATACAGGTTCCGAGGCTTCCTTCCCTGGAATTTGGAGATGGCTCGAATGAGAACCTCGCAAGCAGAATTAGGGATGAAAGGCTTCCAGGAGGATTCTTGGCCTGAATTTGAGTGCATGTCGGCAGAAACCATGCTGCCTTCTATTTCGAGTCTTGCCCCAGCTTGACCAGCCTGGCTGCATCAGCACATTGGACTTCATGTCGCTCAGAGCTAAAACATGCTAAAACATGCCAGAGCATCTGATAGGCAGTTGTTCATACAAAGGGCTGTTTAGGTCAGCCCAGGCAATACCAAACGCTGCAGAGCCATAAGAAGAAGAACGGCAATCATTTTCACAAGTAAGCGTGCGGGCAGCAAATGACTGGACACCTCAGGGCAGGACGTGGTGGTTGTCTTTTCAGAGAGGCAGCTGTCGACGCTGCGCTAGAGGGCAAAAAAACGTGCTGCTTCCAATGGAGGACAAAGCTCCATCGGCATCGGCACCAACATGAAACGCCACTTTCTTTTGGGATTTCGTTTGTGGCGTTCGGGATTGGGTTTAGAGGCTGTTGGCAGCCTTTCAAGGAGCTTTGCCGGGCTCAGCTTCAGTGCTTGCATGGATGCCGCAGCACGTCGGCTATGACTGCTAAGTCATGGCATTTCATGGCAGCCTAGTTTCGCGCGCAAGGCCTTGCCAGGAGGCGCCAGACATGCTTTCACTTGGGCCGTAAAGTCTGTACAAGTTTAGGAACCCAGCTGGAGGTCACTTGAACACTCATGCTTCATGATTTGCAGAGACTATGCCAACGAAGTAGGAACCGTGGCAGTGAGAGGGTCGCGGCCGTTTGGTGAAGTAGTAGAGCTTAGACCATTTAATCGCCAACTCGAGACTGCCTCACCCACCCCCACCCCATCCAAATTGCCCCGCACGCCCCCCTGACAAAAAATCCGTAGGAACAGACCAGCCTGCGCGAACCTAGCCGACCCCCGCCGCCTGACCCCCCTCAAAAACTGAAAAGTTGGAGCCGTTTCGCGCACACTGGGATGGGTAGGGGGAGGATTAACTTCTTACTCCTAGTCTCCGGGCCTGGAACTAAACGCCTCAGGCCTCCGGCCTCGGCGGATTGCTTGCTGTCCAGTTGTGCCTTTTTCTTCTGTGTTCCCATAAGGGCAGCACAATATTGGAGAAGCACCTTATCTGTTGGTGCAAATTGAAAGCGCCCAACTAGATGACATGAAGTTGGGTGGCGGGATGTTGTCTGCAACTCACCTGGCGTCAGGCGCTGCCAACTGGTTCCGTTTAGCGAAATGTCAGCGAGCACCGAGTTTCTTGGAGTCCTTTGCGTCATTGCCGGCGCGAACTGCAGCCTCGACGGCATTAATTTTTGCAGGTGGGCGATAGAGTGTGCCAGGCATCATGGACCAAGAGGACAGTAGAGAGGAGAGCCAACCCAAGACACTACTGGCAGCATCGAAGGTGCTGTTGTCGCTCATTCGTGCCTTGGCTCATGGCATCCCATCATGCATCACGGCACAGATGAGAAGCGTTTCCTTCAAGTGTGCACTAGCGTGCTAAGAGCATGCTGTAATAGTTGCTAAGTGACTGCACAACATCCTGGCTGAGGTTTGTGAGGCTCCTCAAAGGAGTACCCATCCTCGATGCAACTTGTCCTTAGGACTTCGTCATGTGAGCAGCTTGCTGAAGACGCTCGAACCCCTTGGTTCCTAGTCTGCAGCCTAGGTTATGCAAGTTCGTTTCGGGATACAGTGGGGTGTGATGACCATCATTATGGCCGTAATGCGGTCGAAAGGTCTGGGCCCTGGGCGCCAGTGGAGCAGAGACCAGACACAGCCCGGAATGATACACGTGCTTCTGTTTTGATCAAGGTCACACTCTTAGGTTTTTCGGCGTTCCTGGCCAGCAGCGACGCAGCTGCAACATTGTTGTGCAGTGTGGCGCAAAGCTAGGAAATCAGTGGGACGTCACACCTATTCTTCGTCCGCGGGTAGGCCATGTTTATGTCGCAGGCACATGCAGGTCGACGTTCACACGAATTGCAACTCTTGAGCATGACTGTTACACTGCTGGTGCACCCTCACTCCAGATGCTCAGAGCCATATTCCCTTGAATCTGCCACTACAGGGCCCGACCTGACATGCTCGTCCGTAAACGCGAAAGATTCGGCAAACATTTGAGATACTCCTAGTCTCCCTCTTAATGACCTCTTTCATAATATTCTCTATGCAACTCCCTTTAAGGAGTTTAGACTATAGACTATAGCTCATTTTGAGGCCAGATTCATGTTGACCTTGATTTTCTGAAAGGTCTTGTGCCAAAATGAGGGGTCGGAGAGGTGGAGGGTCATGGCCAATCTGAGGGCTTGTTTGGGGTTTCGGGCACCCTCACAGTCACGAAATCCTCCGGCTGGGACTCCCAAGGCATCTGTTTTTGATTCGGGCCGCCGCCTTCTTGGGCGCTTTGGGTTTTGGCTGGACTGCCATGCAAAAGCTCCCGATTGGCGTTGCCACAGGCCTTCGCAGAATGCAAATTGCAGCTCGTGCGGGTTTCTTGTGGGGGATGGGTGGGTGGGTGGATCAATATCGTCCTAATTTTAAAGATAGTTCACCCACAAGAATTGGCCACGTAATGGGAAGTCACCAAAGGTCCGCCTTTCTGATTCCAGGGCTTCAGTTTTGAGAACAAGTTGCCTGATGCTCCGGATCCAGCCTCATCCAGGAGTTGCGTGCCGTAGATCATCATTTTCTCTGTCGCACAGATATTTCCACATTTAGCATGGGGCGGGCTGATTTGCCATATGATGCTCCAAGCAATCACCGCAGCCATGTTGCTGCAGGCATTGTTTATAGCAATCCAGTTCTCAGCGGCATGCGAGAGCCTCAGAATCCGGATGACTAGTGACCAGAGTCTGCAGAAATGCGATATGTTCCAACTTGTTCTTCTGGATTCTGGGGGACACTCCCAAGCCCAGAAGGTGGGGTATCTTCTTACGTGAGCCAGTTTGCACTGCATAAGGCTGGCCAGCCTGGTCCTGCAGCGCGGAGAGCGATTGACGTTGTCTTTTGGCTCTGCTCAGTATCGGGGAACGGGCCTGAAGAGGGCTCGAGATGGAGAGGGAGTACTGGAAGGATGGGTACCAGACTAGACCAGAAAGAGCGCACAGATGCGTACAAGTCGGTTCATGATCTCCCAAAAAATCTGTGATTTCTGCATGGCTCTTGCACGAGACGATGCTGCCCGATCTACTTCCATAACAGGAACTCCAATCCCTTCATAATTAGCGAAAGAGAGAAGCGTAATGCCAGATGCAGTACGCATGTCCCAGCTGCTGGCAAGGCAGCACACTTGTTGCTTGCACATCATTGGTGGAACATTGCGATTCCCAGGCCCTTTCTCATCCAAGCAATCGTGACTCAGCTGAACACTGGAAGCTTGAGAAGCCACAACTTCAGCCCAGATGCGTGTTTGATTTGAATTCTATGAACAAAAGCGCAAAGCTGCGGATCGCAGTGAAGGTCTGCATTACTGGAACAATCCTGATTATCCCGACGGGCGCGCAGGCTTGCGGTGGCTAAATATGGCTGTTTGCAACAGGCTCAGTGCGAAGGCTTGCCTCATCGCCACTGGGCTACTTCTGACATCGTATATTTGTCTAGTTCGTGCTTGGAGATCATCTTGCAAAATAAGCAACACTGCTCAGAAGGCTCCAGGCAAGAAACTGACAGGTCCGCAGAGTTTGCCTCCAATCTGGAAAGATGGTGATGCCAGCTTGAACGTGTGCCCGTGCCAGGAAGCATCAGCGCAACTGGAGTATTCCTGCATGTTTGGCTGTTGCTCGATTACCCTGGCGGCGCCGAAGCTTCTTGACAATGCACCGCGAGCCAGGTCAGGCGACTACTTGGTCGGGACTTTGGTGGCCGTGGTGAGTGCCTGTCTCCATGCTGCCCTTGGGCTTTGAGTAGCTACAGTACAAAATCTGCATACTTTGGCCACTTCTCGGGTCATAAGTATTTACCCTCTGTGGCAACACCTGCTGCAGAAACCTGCCAGGGCCCCTTGACTTGACACCGTATGGAACAAACATGCATGATCTTGGTAGGAATCTTGACACAGAAAGCCTCATGCGGATCCAGCCCAGATATGTCCGTGCGCGGTACGGATGATGGAGGCCTTCAGCGCCTGAATTTGCCAAGAACAAACTTTGATCTTCCTATGACGCTACTTAGCGCCAGCTAGGAGGAAGGAGGGGACTTAGGATTTAGGGTCTAGGGTTCCAGCCTATGGTCCCTGACAATCCTTCTGAAGTGAAACAAGAACAGATCCACAAGTACAACCAGCTAGTTAGCGCCTGGAACCTGAACCGCAATGTCTCTGCGATCTCAGCTGGTATACAAGTGTTCCTTGTTGGGTGCGTGGGAACTTGGGGATAGGTGAAAGACGTTCTTGAACTATGGCAGTCATTCGTTTGGGCCAGCCAGGGCGTCCACCCTCTGGAGATTCAGTTCTTCCAGGATGCATTTGGCACCATGGCATTCGGCCTCAGCTCTCATGTTGAGATGCGTGGAGAGACCAGCCGTAGCGCATAGCATTCAGCGACGACGCGTTCGAAATACGCAAGCAACGACATCTCGATTGGGCTCATTTACTGTAGCCCGTCACGCATTTGAAATCATGAGGCTCAGCTGTTTT